CATCCCAGAATCCAGGACTATGTTGCCCAGCCATTTTAGTCCCCAGCCTGGGGTGTCCCATCGTGTCCGTTTCCGGGGGCTTTACCCCCATCTTGGGGCTTACACACCCCTCAAATCAGTCAGTGTGTAACCTGCACGGGCAGTACACCAGGTCATAAGTACGAGCACTTTCGGCTTTAGGATTTGAAGAATCCGGCTTGTGATGAGGGGTTACGCTTTCGGGTCGGGTTTTGGGTGTAAGATACATAGCCTTCTGCCGGCCAACGGTGTCTGGTAAGTAGGGCTGTGGGAGTGGCGTAGACGGTGTTCCTAGGAACGGTGTCGGCGGGGATCCTCTTCGTGATGATCGCGACTAGGACGAGGAGAATCGTACGACAGACGACCGATGAAAGCGATGGAGTGCTCGTTGGCAATCCAGCCAGTGGGATCACTCATGGGATTCAGATTGCTGGAATCGTGGCAATGTTGGGTGGGCTCAGAATGCTGGTTCTTGGTCTGTCCGAGATTGGACCTGGAACGACAGGAGACACTGAGGATCAGCTTCAACAGGAACTGGGTTTGGTTTGCCGTAGCTTCGTTGAGCATGGTCCCAAGTTGCCGCAAATGTGGTATAAATTGTCCAGAGTTCACGGGGGCAGGATGCTGCACCGATATCCACTAAGTTGTCGTATCTGCGTCGCAATACTAACTTTATGTTGGAATCACCTACATCGCTGCATTGACATATAAGGCCTGTACCGCCGGCTGCATTAATGCAGACAGGAATACCGACCTGGAAACCAGACCAACCTCCTGCTTGCAGATGCCTCTGCAAACAACCCTCATGTACCGAAGGCACAGCAGATATCGATATTTCTGTACTTTCGTACGTTTATACTGCAGGTTTCAGTTTCTGCACATTTTCTGCCGAAGTTCGCGAAAGCAAATAAGTTGCTGACCTATGCATCGGACTCCGCCGTGCTCTGAGAAGCTTTGAGAATCTTATTGCACCCAACCGCCGCACATCGTCTTATGGTCGTTGTTCCAACCTGGTTTGCGATTGTGGTGGCAGTCCCGACTGCACATTTCCATACTTACAGAACAACCATGACAAGCTTTGTCTGGCTAAGACCCTAGTAGGTTGTGGTGGATGAGAGTACGGTTGATACGGATAGCGGAAGGCCTGCGATTGGCAATCTTTTGTGGAGGATTGAAACTATTTGGACTGTAAGAGCCACCGACGTAATATTGCAGAGACTGCTAGGGGTTGTCGCAGCAAGACTCTATCAGTTTCGATTGTTTGTGTCGTTGTCGCTGTTGATACATCTGCAATGAGTTCCACCTCATAGAAAAGCTTGGGTAGTTCGCTTCGTCTTCATACCTATAGAGCCGAACGGTCTGAAGGTAGAAATACAAGCATAGAGCGTGCTGACTTATTGTGCACATTCCCCTTCCTGTAGTGTAACTGACTGAGCAAGAAGTGAGCATATCAGCGTGTGTATATAAATATGAATATAAATACAAATAAACATAGATATATAAAATGCATTTAAATTTAAATATAAATATAGATATGAAAATAACGATAGAAAAAATAAACATAAATAGAAATTAAAATATAACTAATATAACTTCATATAACTATAAATATAGAGATAGATAGATAGATAGATAGATAGATAGAGAGTAAATAGCTAGATAGAGATAGAGCTCTGAAGGTGCAGACATACCTATCCGCAAGCATACTCGCAAGATTGATCCGTAGCTAGATAGGTAGAAAAGCTACAGACATTTCAACATCAGCAGTGTTTGCCAAAGCCCACAGCATCTAAGGGCAGCTGCTTTGTCTGCATCCGGCCCGGCGACTTTCGTCCCGAAAGGCGGACGAGCGGTTGACAAACAAATCCCCGCGTCAGAACCACGCTTGGGTTTAAGCTTGTCAGGCACGCCGCCATCGCTTCTGCGAGCGGAATGCAGATGCTGAAGCCCAATGAGATGCTTGCGTGTTTGCCGTGCTACTGCGGAGGGCCCAAAAAGTCCAAGCGGAGGCCCAGGTCCACAACTGGCGTCTCTAAGCTTTCCATGCAGTGACTGCCTTGCCATTGCAGACAAATTCAAGTGTTAGATCAAATCATCTTTGCTGGGTTTTTGGCCAGAGCTAGACTTGACAAGCACGTGAGCAGCTCGCCAAGTTGGAAGGAAGGCATGATGCTCAAACACTTTTGTAATTACTTCTGATGTGTCAGAACTAGTGAGTAACTAGTGTGGTGGACTGACGGCCATGCCTACCAATATTGCTTGTGGAAGAGAGAAGAATCCGACTCAAAAAACAAGAGGGGACCCTCGCGGCTGCGGGTTGCAGGTGGTAGATCTGACGGTCAACAGTGGGTTTCAGCAACTTCCAGGTCATTGAAAGGTCTTGGGGAGTTTACCATTGACAATTAGGTTTTGCCCAAAGAACTGTGAACCCGCGCCCATCGATTTTCATCAGTAGTTGGGTCCCCACTGTCGACTTCGACTGAACAGCAGCGAACAGCACTGTGAGCTCGAGTCTGACGTTTGCACTATTGCAGAATTAGTGTCCATGTATGTTTGCTGTTCGTGGAGTGTTCTTTCTCCATTGCGGAGAGATGTCGTTCTCAAACTTGTGCCACTCCTGGCATGACTTTTTCTACATTCGTCTCTCGGGCCCTGGCCCTGTCCAAGAGGAAGGTCTACTGCGAGCCAGGCCGCAGAGTTTGGTATCACCATGAGCAACTGAGCAACCGTCGACTTTGAGCCAGGCGACTTCCTCCGTTGTTGGGCCACAGAATCGCCCACTCTAGGACCTTAGGACATTTAGGACTTTAGCAGTAGGTGAAAGAGCTGTCCTGTCGCAAAGGGGACATTCACTGAAGCCGTTTCGCTCCTGAGCTTGTCGGATGCAAGCCAAAGCACGGCAGCAGGGGAACAGGTAGGTGTGATGCAAAAGCTCGACCTTGTCGGTGCCCCTATTTAGCTGGCCTCCTAGTCTGTGACTTGTGTGATGCTGCCTTGTACGCGTTGGGTTAGCTAGTGCAAGTCGATGCTGCAGTCACTTCCCTGTCACTCTGCTTGCCAGGGGTTTCGCTAAGGGTGCGCGGATGTGACGTGGCTAGGAGCACTTCGAATATTCCAGTTGGCAGATGCAGCGGATGAAAACTACGTCGCTTCGGCGTCACTTCGGCACCTTTGCAAGGTTGTTTTTTGGATGTGCATTGCGGGAGTTGCGACGCAAATTAGGGGCCTTGGCCTGATGTTCCGGGCAAGCAGTGATGACTACTCGTTTTTTTTGCAAGAGTTGATGACTTGTGTCTCCACTCCCCGATGACTTGAAAGCGCATAAGACAGGAAGCACCAGCAAGGAGTGCAGTTTAGGCTGCCAAGAAAGACTTCAGTTTCATGCACCCAGAAATTGGGATCTTTGTCCAGAACTGGCCACAGGCGTTTGAAGCCTTCAGGACTGCACCCCTCTGAAGCTTCCGTTTAGGAGAACCTGGTAGTTGCAGACTGCCACATACTCTGAGGCCTCGGAAGGCAAACCGTACCTCGGCTTAGCTCTCCGGCTGAGCGCCGTGCACTGGCTCTTACAGCTGTGCAATGCCGTACACCTTCCAGAACCTCTGCCCAACACCTCAGGGCTGGCGAGTCTGCCCCTTCTGGCCGTAGCTTCGCTCCTAAGCAGCCCAAACTCAGAGACGTTCAGAGACATCTGCAAGTCCAGTGTTGTGGAGCTTCAGCCCAAGCAACGGCCAGAGCAATGACTGGCAAAGGTGTTGATGCCTGATATGCGTTGGCATGTTGTGTATAAGTGTAGCTCGTGCCTTGCCTGACATTACATAGCATGGCTTTGGAAAGTCCCTCGACTCGAGAGAGAGGATGTCTGTGAACACACCGCGGCTACACATGCTCGCTCGTGCTCCAATACCTAATCCAATCTAGTGCTTGCACCTTGAGGAATCAGCCTGAATGTAGAGCACTCATATATTCGTTTGTTTCAACTGAGTCATCTGTCGCATCCTTAGACACTACCGTAGCCTTTATTTGCCTGACGCAAAGCGGCTTCTGATTTTCGACCAGGCAACAACTCTTTGCCAGGATTTTGATTCGTATCGACGGTGTGATGCAGGATGTCTCATGAAAGGTGTCTGGCCTCGGGCATAGTATCGCGAGAACGTCTCAGGCAGCAACCAGCACTCGTAAACCTTGCGTGCCAGGTCGTTTCAGCCCCTCACAGGCCGCATCCTGCGTCAGATCGAAGATGGGGGACTGATGCCAAAGCCAAAGTCAGAGACTGGGTCTCGGCTGAGGCGAGGCGAGGCGGAAGATGTCGGAAGGGGAAGGAAGGGTCGCTCAAAGAAGCAGACCAACCGTATTCTTAGATCGCAGCAGGTCCTTGGGGACCCTTTGGAGTTGCGACAGTTTAACAATCCGGAACAGCTGGACCGTCGCTGATCAGTTTGAATTTGCTAATTAAATGGAAGCGAGTGGGAAATCCCTGGCAACCTTACATCTTAACCGGGTTGCCAACAAACCGGTCAATTCCATTTCTTGGCGCTCTGCCACGACACTTGGGAGTTGCATGTGGAAGGTGCTGCTCCAGTCGAGACCAAGCCGAAGACAGACATGACGTGCCTTCTCGAATCTTCAGCAAGGACAGAGCACCTTTCGGCGACTTCCCTTTGCAGACGACAACCCGTTCCCGAGTCTGCAAGGTGTAACAAAGAGTACACTGAGTACAACGCTCTGTTTGGCAAGCGAGTGATGTAGCCCTGACTCACGACAGCGGCAAGCTCGCCGTGGACACCGCATCAGGCTCACTCGCATGCCGCGGGTTCATCCACGCTTCGAAACTGGCAACCCCAAGCATGTGCTGCGATATTTCCAAGCCGTGCTGGATCCCATTCACGACGAAGCAATGGCCCAAGGCAACCTGTTCCAACAGAGAAGTTGCCCAGCTTCAAATCCTGAAAGAAGAACACTTCAGAGCCCAGCTTTGGGAGGCACCAAGCCTATCAACTTCTCAAGTGGCCGTCCCGGTCCCTCCATCCTCTCTCCAAATTGCTGTGGCGGCCGGCGGTCGCCCAGAGTTCGAGGCCATACAAGCGAGCCACGTAGGTGGCCTTGTCGTGGCAGGGCAGCTCGTCCCCGAGGCCATGATCAAGTCTTCCAAGCCGGCGTCCTTCAGCAGCGGCATCATGCTCTCCAGGCAGGGCTCTAAAGTCTGACCCAAGTCTCGGTGCGTACCCGTGGGAAGCACCTGCAGGAGCGAAGCGCAGCGTCAGAAGGGCGATGAGCTGCGGATGCGCGCAGTTGCATGGCAGCATTTTATTGACTGGAACTTGGAACTTGGGAGTACCAAGGCCGTTTTCAAGTTTATTAGTTTTGTGAATTCTTGCAGCATGTCCCCTGGATTGGTAGTTCCTGTCGCCTTCATGAGGCGGGTATCGACCCCACAAAGGTGGACGAGCAGTGGGCCGGAGAGGCCGCCGGGCCGCACCGAGCCGCGCTGAGCCGCGCTGAGCCCTGCCGTCTTTACTTCGGCCTCACGACCTACGTGTGACACTTCATGTCCAACTTGCTTGGCGAGGTAATGTCGAGGAGGCAGAAGAAAGAAGCTAAGGTAGATGAGGCCACTTATTACTGGGGTCCGGAATACCTGCATGGCCTCTCAAGGCTCCTTTGTCAAGAAGCCCCTTCCTGAAATCTGGATGCAGCCTGTACTCAGGGTATTCGACATGTGGTGCTTGTTCTGAAGCTCCTTAGCCATAGTTTATATGAGCGGCCAACTGCATAGCTCAGTCTTCGCTAGGTGAAAGATATCCATTGAGCCTACTTGCCGTGGTATGCCGCAGTACTGCTGTAACTATTACTATGACTATTGCGGCAGATAATACTACCATTACTATTACTTTTGCTGTTGCTACTACTTCTACTATTGCTATGAGCACTGTTACTGTTACTGTTACTGTTGCTACTAGTCCTCCTGCTGCTGCTGCTGCTACTACTACTACTACCACTACTACTACTACTACTACTACTACTACTGCCACTACCACTACTACTACTACTACTACTACTACGATGACTGCTACGACTGCTACCACTGCTACTACTACTGCCACAAATTTCTATTGCTACTGCCACTACTGTTACTGCTGCTGCTGCTGCTGCTGCTGCTGCAGCCAAGTGCCAAAATTTTGGTTCCCGTACAGGGTTTAGCGCAGAAGTTCCGTGCAAGTGTGGTTACAGCCGACGTAGCCAGTCTAGGCAAGGGCCTTGTTGTACAAAGCGCAAGGATCTAACCCTTAAGACGGCTTCGTCAGAAATCCAGCCCTTAAGACTGCCTTTGCCAGCCCTTTCCAACAACTGCAGATTTCACGTAGGAAGCCTCCCAGAAGCTCTTTCTTGTAATGCCCGTAAAAGCTTGCCATCGAGAAGCTTGTAGGAGGCTTTGCACATTCATTTGGAGCTTATAATTCGGTTCTAACTTGCAAAGGTATGTAAGTATGCCTGCGTGAAAGTTTCGTGAAGGTGTTGCGAAAGTTCACTTTTTCCGCGAGGAAGGTCAGTCCGGAATGAAGGAATTTAGATCAACAGCCATGTAGGCATGTCAAGAATGAGCATCTGAACATATGGAAAGCTGTACTCCGTGTCAGGAGCAGGAGAGAGAAAAGAAAGAGGCATCCGATCTTCCGATGGAGAAAAGTGAGGCAGTCGTTGGCTCTTTCGATTGTTGAGTCAAAAGAGGGGCCGGCAGAGATTGCATGGACATACACCTACCCACAGGTTGTTGGAAAGAAGCCCGATGGGCGGCTGAAGTGGCTGCACAAGGCACGAGTATGCGCGAGGGTTGAAAGTCAGATTTTGAGGTGACTGGGCCAGGCGCTTGTCCTCGCCTCCAAGGGCCGAATCCCTGCTCCAGCCATCTACGACATCGCAGCTTGGCAGGGAGGAGCCGCGTTCTTCGCGTTCCCCCGTCCCACGTTCCCCCACGTCGTGAGGTGCAATCCTCGAAGTTCACGCAAGGCGTCGGCTCCAAGGCCCCGAAGGGGCAGAAGCGGAGTTCCCCTTCGCTTTCGCTTGCCTGAGGTGGGCATGCAGATGAAGGGCCTCGTGCTGGCCAACCTCCATCTCTTCAAGAAGGCAGGCTGACAGTCTGACAGTCTGGCGGCTGCAAAACGAACCTGTGCAGGAGCAGCAGAAGAGCCTGCAAAACGGAAGGCGCACGGACAGAAACAGCACAGCAATGTCTGAGGTGCACGCCGGCACACCGCTTCAACTTGCAGATGTTTGACGCAAGGTTAACAGTATTGGCAGTATTAGTCGCTGTAAATTCTCATCTGCTGCGCCTGTTACAAGCACTGCGCCCGGGCTACCGTAGTGTGCGTTTGTGTAAGAGCTTGCGTCATCCGATCTGCACGGAGAGGCTGATGGACTTCTCTGGTGCCGGTCCTGTCCTGAGTCAAGTCTAGTTACTAGTCGAAGTCCGAAAGCTGGTGGGCTCAGGGGCACGACAACTCGCACGACCCCTAGTAAGAAGAATAAGAAGAAGCGCCTAGACTCCACGGGATCCCAGAACGATGTAAAAGCCTGAACGGCAAAGGCAAGCCCTGAGCCCCTGAACTGTGCAAGCACTACATAAGTCCTCAGAAGTCTAAAGGTTTCAAGGCCGGAGGGCTTGTAAGAAGCAAGGTCTGCAGTGTACCCAGGCCCAAATCATTTCCGGTTCTGAAAATTCAGACTTGATCGGACACAGTGCGTATCGGGGCGATTGAGGATAGGACCCAGTCGAGCATGGAATCTGCTGGGAATGTTGTCGATGTCTTGGAAATCCGGGTTTGCATAGTGAAACATAATGTGCACGCGCCAGAACCACAGAGCCACTGGCGATCCAAATGGCACAAAGTACATACTGTCCCTATACAATTCTGTATACATGTGATATCGTAGTATGCTATATCATGCCTGGCCGACCTTGCTCGACCTTGCTGCAGGTGGGGGTACCTACTAGACCCTGCAATCAGAAAAGAATACAGGGATGTAGGACATGCCAGGCCCATCGACCGAGAGACAGGGCAGGTGCTCCTTCCGAGTAGAAGCCCAGGGACGGAGACTGCCAGACTACATCGCTCGCGCTGTTCTCTGCAGGTGTTTGCAAGCTGTTTGGTTTTGCTTGTCGAGCAGATTTGACTTGTTTTAGGATCTAGAAGGAAGTACATAAGCTCAATACAGCTTTAAAGCGCCCAAAACCCTCGGCGCTCTCCGCATCCTCCGCCCTATGCTCCTCGTTCCTGATGACAGCACAGCTAGCTCTGATTCCTGCGTGTGAGCACTTCAAGATTCAGCAGCAGTTTGTGCCGTAATCTGCGTGGAAGGCTTGCAGTGCACAGATCACCGAGAGCATAAGCATGTTGCTGCTCCTGATCTTGATCACCTTCTTCAGATGCTGTTCGTGAGAAACGCATGTCGCGGGTCACTCTGGCTCTCACTCTTGACCCTCGTTTGAGATTCGCGGCTCATTGCCAATTGCAAGGGAAGCACACAAGCTGACATCATGTGCACTCAGGTGGCAGCGAGTCACGAAGTCCTTCGCCAAAGAAGCGAAAGAAGGAGAAGGCTTCGAGTGAATCGGGGTTGGCTCAGGTCCAACCGCCGCCTGGCCCTCTTGTGAGGATCGCTCGGATGAAGAGGACAGGGAGCGGGACGAGGCTAAACCCAAGCCGCATCCTCGGGATGGTGCATGGATGTGCATGGTGCACGGTGTCACATGGACCACGCAGCCATGTGGCAGACAGCTTATGCTGCAGTTTACCATGGCTTTGAACCAAGGAAAAGTAAGAAGGACAAGGACAAGGCCAAGGACTTGAACATGTTTTTGTGCCGTTGTCCGATGGCTCCAGCGAAAAAGTCTCGGCATGGGGCTCTGCGGTTCAAGGCCGAGCACAACATTTGGCCTTTGCAGCCACCTGCCGATCAGGATGTGGAAGATGGCCATTTCGACAAGAGCGAGGTGTGGGCATCGGAAGTCGTCAAGCGTCACAGACGGGATGGGGATGCAGGTGGCCAGCAAGAAGCCCTCCAGCCGACTGCGGTGGTTGCACGAGGCGAACGTCGGAAGCCAAAGCCCGTCTCTGTCTCCGCGTGGCGATTTGAGGCCTTGGTCTCCGCCCTCCAGGGCCGCCTCGCCGCCTCGGCGATTTGCCAGGTCGTGCCGCGCTGAGACGCGCGTGGGCATTGGGCCGAGCTTTGGGCTTTGGCAGTGCTTTTGGCCTTGGGCTCTTGGGCTTTTCTGTAGACTGAGCAGGAGGTAAACAAGCCTTCCCCACTTTGGCCGTCGACACCTTGGACTTCAGGTGCGCTCGTCGAAGTTTGCTTCTGGCCTTGGCACGGAGGCCACAGAGGGATCCACAGAGCGACGGCAGGATCCAAAGCGTCACATGGGTTAAAGATCAAGCCAGAGATCGTGCACATCAAGCTGCTGTGTTCTGTTGCGAGCCTTCAGGACCATTCTGCAGTTGTGATGAGTACAGCAGCATGATGTTCCTTCAAGCGTTTAAGTTTAAGACTTCGGATGTCTTGCTTTTTCCCTGTGATTCTCATCTTTTGAAGTTCGGGTTTGTGGCCGTGCTTACCTAGCTCTCCCATCCAAAGGCACTTTCTACCCGGAAGAACTCTCCAGGTCGGGTTGAGAACCAAAGGCCTGGTCCTGGCCAACTTGCACCTCTTCGAAGAGGCACCTCTTGGACACACAGGGCGTGGGCGTGGTCGGGTTAGGCTCCCATAGGCTCCCTGGACAGGAGGAGCGTGAAGAGCTGCAGCGAAGCAGGCGGTGACGGTTCGCGAAGATGTAGCGTTGGAATTCGGGCTCGGCTTTAGCGAGGCATCCGGCTTTTAGCCGTCTTGTGTGTGATGAATTTGGGGCTGAGAATGTTAAGAAGAGTCTTGCGGCTTTCAGGAAGTGCGTGCTTGCCGCATTTCGTCGCTCGCCGGGTTGGGACGCGAGGTGTTGGGCGAACATTGGCAGCCAAAACACGATCGTTCAAAATCGAAAGTTGCTGCGAAGGCTCATGGAGTTGGACCCCGACGGCCGATCTCTTAAAGGGCTTGTGCTGGAGCTTCGGCAATCCGCTGTTACGAGCCGTCAACGAGCGAATCTGCACCGCATGCATGCAGGCATCGAGCTGATTTTGCAACAGAGTCTTACTCGCCTTTTACAGCCTCATGACTGGGTACGGTTCATGATCAAACGAAACCGAAGGCCAAGGCCAGGAAAGGATCAAAAGGCTCCCCGGCCACGGTCTCGCAGCCAACGCCACTTCACACCCCAAAACCAAAAGCCACCGCCCACGACAGTACCGTACCACACTATCCCAGTCGCTGCAAGCCATAGGTGCAGCATGTCCCCAGGTCCCAAGCCGACAGGAAATGTTGCTATACTGCACACTCTTTGCCTCGGCTCTCCTGCAAAAACTAGACCCTGAATACTATGTGCCAAAATTTCGTTGGAGATTTGGGATAGTTGTTTGGTGCTCAGTGCTAGGATTAGTATGATTCGTACTCGAGTACACCCGGCGGTTCGAGCGGCTTTGATTCAAGCATTTAAGCACCTAGCCAGATTCGAGCATTCGCGTTGCGAGCACGCGCGATCCAGAATCCATGCAGCTACAACTCAAGCATCAAAGATTCAAGCGCAAGGCTTATAAGGTGCATTTTATGGTTAGGGTTTGAGGCAGGTTTCGGGGTTTAGGGTATGTCGGTTCAAATTGTTGGGATTTTGGGATAGGGCGTGTTTGAGATATCACTAGGCAGGGAGAGCGGAGTGTTTAGGGTTTAGGGTTTCGGCTTCACAGTTCAAGAGCTTCGGGTCATCGGAGTCTAAGGGTTTCTACGGTTTAGGGCTTAAAGCTTCGGGAAAATGCACGTGGGCATCCAGTGACGAGTTAGGCATGTGACAGTTTGCGCTCCCCTTCAGGTCAAACTTACAGGCGGATGCTGAAGCCGCGGTGGGTCAAGAAGTTTTCAGCTTGAGCGGTTCCTCCTTGTTACCATCCGTGTGCTATGAGGCAGAGGAGGTCGTGCTCATGGAGGCTGAGCACCGCAAGCCCTTAGAGCATCAACTGGGGGCTTGGTCCCACGACTCCCAAGCTGGATCGTCGACCAGAAGAAGTGCCGAGAGGTTTAGACTTCAGGGTCAGGGTTGGGGAAGACTGCAGAGTTGGGAAAATTGTGGATGCTTTTATTAAGATTGATCATTATACCAGAAAGGAAGCAAAGGAAACATAACAAATCAGCCGGCTAAAAAAAGCGCATTAAAGACTCCCCCACATTAGCAGCGAAGTGAATAAGCAAAAAACGCATTATAGATCAGGGCGCTCAGGAGGAGGATGACCGCAACCACTTGGATGATGGCGATACTGAGCCTTCGATGAGGAAACAACGACAGAGCGGGGCTTCCAGGGATGTATTCTTGTCCGCGACCGACCCATTTTCCATGCAGAAGCTGGCTGCCACGCCCCAGGCCGACAGGAAACACAGGAACAGATTGCTTGGAGCAAGGAAAGCATGGGGACTTGGCATTTGATGTGCCGTGGCTGGCAGGTCACATAAGATAACTTAAGATTTTCAATCCTGCAGTTAGTGATGTTGCACCATGGTCCCTGGCCGCTTATGTGGCCGACAACGATTGCCTGTTTGGAGTCGGTTGAGGCGGTTTCTCGTCACAAGAACAAAGTACAAGTCGGGCCGACAAAGGCGACCTCAGCCTCGACTGTGTGGGCGTGGGACTAGTTTCGGACGTGGGTAGTTGGTGTGTTCCGCCAACCTTTCAGATGCCATTTCCAAAGGTGAGTGGCAGCTTAATGACCAGTTCGGGTGTGAGAGACAAGAACTCCAGTCCTTGGCAGTTTGGGACTCCCTGGCCGAGACTCTTGCGGCACCAGTCAGCCCTGAAGCTGGGCTTTTCGAAAGACTCGTGTACCTACTCGCTGTGCCACCGGTCGCCCAGTGAGTCGCACATGAGGGTGGTCGAGTCCCACGCGAGAGTGGAAGATTCGCGGACCGACCAGTTCGCCTATGAAAGGCTTCAGCAGGCTTTCTGTGAGTTTCGAATTGCACTATTCTGCGGGTAGTGGAAAAGGGGGGGAATGTTTCAATAATACTGTTCGCTCGATTTTCACGAAGCAGAACTTGCCGGCAAATGCACATGTGTGCATCCAGTGACAAGTTAGGCGTGTGAACGTTTGCGAAATTCACCGGTGGATGCTGAAGCCGTGGTGTGCCAAGAAGGTTTTCAGCTCCCACCACACCCGCCCAGAGGCAGTTTCGCGGACCGATCAGTTCGCTTTTGAAAGGCTTGAGCAAGTTGTCTGCGAGTTTCGAACCGCACTACTTTGCGTGTAGTGGAAAAGATCGGGAACATTTCAATAGTTTGTTCGTTCGATCTTTCACGAAGCAGAGCTTGTCATTTCGTAGTTAAAGGTCATGGATGCTCAGTATCCCAACCGTAGGTCGGGCATGTTCCAAACACCTCGCAGCTCCTCGTTTCCAGTTGAAGGACGTTATGATAACGGTTGCGGCGAATCGAATCCTTGGCGTGCAAAAATCGGTTTTTTACTCGGCCCCCCAAGACCGAGCTTCAGCCGTGGCGACATCGCGAAAGCATTGGCATAGCACCAATCAAAATCCAACAATTTCACCTGCGAAAGGAACCCATAATCGTGCCTTGACTGTCAAAGCCAAGACCCGACCTAGGCGGCAACTTCACATAGAGCTGAAAAATTGCAACATACAGAGAAAAAGGCGAATTCATTGCAAACTGCACGTTTCGTTGCAATGCTGTTTTCGAAGGTCGCAACGACACCGTCCAACATTCATTCAATGCGAAAACGCAGTATCGACAGAATATGACAGAATGTCTACGTCCGACTCACAGAGACTCAAATCCATACGTGTCAAACGCAGAATCATACTGATGCTCGTCACCTACCAGTACCTGAGTGTCATGTTGAACATCCAAGAGGTGCTGAGCTAGGCAGCACAACATTCGCAATCTTGATAGCGAAACCAGAGAACCTGAGGTGCTGAGTGGGCACGCCACCAGGAACCATTGGATGCATGACCGTTGCTACCTGTGATGCATTGGCATGGGCAACCCCAGCGCAACCTCTGAAGCAACATGCCGCGGAATCATGCAGAATCCATACCTTTAAGTGAAGCTCCAATGCAGCTTCAATTCCCGTTAGGACATGAAACGATGTGAACATTCGCCGTGTTTTGTTGTGATTTGTTGTGTGGTGGATGCTGCTTGTCCCCAATTTTTCCAAGAACCCAAGAGCTTCTCACCTCAAGAAATCAGGTGACGACGATGCAGACAGCCACTTGCCCAGACTACAAGTGTCGCAGGTTGTTTGGCCTTTCCCGGGGAAAGAACGGCGGAAGACCTGTTTCTAGACACGGCTTCTCCGTTGCTGAAGGTTACAGCTCGCGAAGTCCTACGCCGAAGAAGCGCAAGAAGGAGTGCAGTCAAGACAAGCAGCCTGGGTCACAAGTGTTCGGATGTCGCGTGCGTTTTGCGAGGACAAGTCTGATCATGAAGATGCGAAGCACAGACGCTTGCACGAACAAACGCACCGTACCTGCCAACTTAGAGCAGCCAAGCTCGGTCAGGCTGAAGTCAACACGTCTTGAAACTGTCGCCTGGGCTGGGGCTTGAGGAATCGTACAGGTGGTTCTTGTTGCGTGTTTAGCGTAAAGGGGCTTCTGTGGCTGCTGCAAGTCCAGAGATTGCCCGCCTGTGAAGAGGAATCGGGTGCTTCTGCAAGGTTCTTACCTGCTTCGGCCTGCATCGGTGTCAACCAAAAGAAGTCTTAAGCCGTCATGAGACTTCGGGTTTGATTTTCGAACATGAACACATTCAATCTGTTTCGGTGGCAACGAGTATCGCACGTGCCAAGTAGTTCGAGCTTTGGCATGACTAAGGGGAGAAAGACAAAGATAAGAGCTCAAAGAAGCTGCTGCCCCAGCAAAGTGTGGCACCTGCCGTGCAGCATTACTGGATTAAAGATATGGTCAAGCAACAAACAGTATATACAGTATCGACAGTAGA